TAAGAAAAGAGACATTATATCTGAAAATCAATTTGGTTTTATGCTTGGGAGGTTAACTATGGAACCTATACATATTTTGAGATGGTTAGTGAAGAGATATAGAGAGAAGAGAAATGATCTACATATGATTTTTATCGATCTAGAAAAAACTTACGATAGAATACCTACTACCTAGAGAGGTAATGTAGTAGGTGTTAGAAAAGAAATATGCATCTAATATGTATATTGGTGTAATTAAAGATATGTATGATAGACTAACAACTAGAGTAAGAACTAATGGATGAGAGACTAAGCCATTTCTTATTACCATAGGTTTACACAAAGGGTCAGCTTATCTTTTTGCATTAACTATGGACCAACTTACTAAGCACATTTTAGGATGGAATTCTATGGTGTATGTTATTTACTGATGATATAGTATTAATTGATGAAACTAGAAGAGGTATTATTGCTAAAATAGAAAGATGAAGACAAGCTCTTGAGTCTAAAGGTTTTAGAATTAGTAGAACAAAAACAGAATATATAGAATGCATTTTTAGTAAAAGTACGAAAGAAAAAAAACCTATGGTACATATTGATGGCCAAGAAATACCTAAAACTAATCATTTTTGTTATTTAGGATCCATCGTTAGGCATGATGGTGAGATAGAAGATGATGTTGTGTATCGAATCAAATGGGATGGTTGAAATAAAGGAGTATTTCAGGAGTCTTATGTGATCATAGCATACCAATGAAACTAAAGAGAAAATTCTATAGGACGGTTATTTTCATGCCCCGATTCCAAATCGTAATAGTTTAGAATGTGACTCGGCCGACAATGCGACCATACAGTCTCATTTACGCCTCTAAACCATCCTGTATACAGATATATGACCAACAAGAACTACAACATGGAGCATGTAACTAAGAAAACAAAGAAAATAAACAGATAAAGAAATATATGAAAAGACAGAGTTCTACTACAAGTCCACAACTATCTGAAGTAGGAAAGAGGAAAAATATATCATAGTCTGGAAAACTACATGTGATTATAGGAAAAGTCTCAATCAAATAACTACCTAAGACAAATAAATTGGAGAACTGATAGAATAAACGATGATCAATATCGTTGAGCCCACTCCTTGAAATATTCTCGATCCTACGAAGAAAGAACAGTTCCCGAGTCTGGGATGCGCAAACCTTAGGGGAGTCAGAAAACTCCTAACAAGAATGTAAAATGAAAAAATTATGCGTGTGTAAGTGTATGTAGCAGGTTTAAAAGAGAATATGAAAACTCAATTAAAGGCGATAAAAGAAAATTCTAATTGTAGACATCAAATAAGGTCTAGCACAAGGCACACACAAGCACATTATTATTATTATTATTATTATTATTATTATTATTATTTTAGGTGTTATTTGAATTAGAGAAGAATATTTTTATCTATATAAATCAGGTTCCTGTAAACCGTTCTGGGAACATGGCTTCAAGTCAGGATTGACCCTTAGCCCTTATATATAAATCTATATATCAAGAATGCGCATGAGCTCGCTTATATACACGTTATATTCTCCATCCAATTCCCCTTCATACACATTATATTCTCTGTCCATAAAATTTATGAAAAATACCCGTGACCCAAAACATATCCAATCAAGATATGTGCATCGTCTAGTCAATACTATTATAATAAAAGTAATAATCAAGAGAAACTCCTCACATTAGGATATCGATATCGATGGTATAGCCATGCTAAGATAACATGTTTATGAATCACATTTATTGACGGAAGTCGTCTTCATGCACAATCAACCCTATTAAATATCACTAGGTGGTCAAACATAACATCAGGTGATCCAACAAGCATCAAGAGATCAAATAATATCATCATTCATCTTAACAAAAGGAAAATAGATAATTAGCATAATTGTTTAGTGTTAAAGCGGGCCAAATGGGTTTGATTTGATAACATAGAAATTTGGAAAAAATGATTTTAGTGAGCAAAAGGCCTAAACGTGTCTAAAATCTGATCTTGGATCCTAACTGGGTCAAACGGGTCTGCAACTTGAATTATAAACCTAAACGGGTCTGAAATCTAATATTGGATTCTAACTAGATCAAACGGTCTGTAATTTGAGTTATAGACCCAAATGGGTCGGGTATTGGTGTATTTTAGACTCAAGTGGGTTTGGTTTAATAGTGGGTCCGAACCTGGTCGGGTTCGAGTTCAAACTGACCCAAAATATATATATCTGTGAAAAATGAAGACACTGGGATTTGAACTCATGACCTAAGAACTAATAACCAAGTCACCTAATCACAACTTAAACTAGTACTTTGTGAATATTTGACTGTAGAGAACAATTAAAACTATTCTGTATTATAAATATAATCTTGAAAAAAATTTAGAAATCTTTAAAATTACTTTACTTTACTTTATTTATTTTTTTAACAAAACTCTATTGACCGAAATAAAATAGTTTTGATTAAATAATAAAAAAATAAATTATTATTTTATTAGGCAAATGTTCTTGCAGAAGGGAATTTACATTGAAAAGAGAGGTTATTTTCTCATTGAATATTGTTACCTAAAAATGTAATAAATCCTAATAAAGGATATTTAAAAACTTTAGTGTAGGTTAGGAGTTCTCAAATAACATTTAATATCAATTAAAGAAAGAATTTTTTTTATAAACTATTATACACTCTTAACTAAGAAATTTCCCCAAAGCATGCAAGATATAATTCATAAAGTTGACACAGAATTTCACCCGCATGTGAATAACTCAATACCTAGAATTCTAATAAAGAAACAAAAATCTAAATTTTTATGAATTAAGTTCTAGGAAGAACAATAAAAGAAATACTTGCCTAAAAATGAATAAAGAGCGGAAAATATTCATATAATATTATGGTAAAAACAATAAAAAAAAACCTATCTACAAATTAATTATCATAAATCTAGGATGAGAATACTAGTAATTGGATAATGTAATCATGAAAATAAAAGGGGTTAGGATAAGAAATGCTTGCTGAGAAATAAATTAGAACTCTAAAATTGAAATCCCTATTTGTTTCTTCTCCTTGAGTACCCGAATCTCCTCTCAAAATTTTTCTCCGTTCTTTTTTTTTTATCTCGTGTGTTTTTAGGAAGAAAAACAAAGTAGATAGATAAACTCTTAAAGGAGATAGGGTTATTAACAAAATATTAGGTGGTTAGAGATTTTCTAGTAAGAGAGGGAGGGGTTGGTTGAGATATTTCTCTTTTTGGTTAAACGTGGTTTCACGGTTATAGAGAAAAAACGGGAGGAGTTTTTTTTATTTTTATTTTTTTCGTGAGATGTGAAAAGAAAATAAGGTATTACAGTTATAAGACCAACTATGTTTTATGGGTCAGAATGTTAGGCAATTAAAAAACATGTTCAAAAAATGAGTGTAGCAGAAATGAGAATGTTGTGATGGTCTTGTGGGTATACATTAAAAGATAAGATAAGAAATGAATGCATCCGTAATAAATTAGAGGTTGCGCCTATTGAGGATAAAAATGAGAGAGAATAGATTATGATGGTTTGGTCATGTACAAAGGAGACATCTTAATGCATGATTAGGGAAAATGATAATATTAGAGTTAATAAGGCTAGAAGATCTAGGAGTCGACCTAAAATGACTTGATCAGAAGCAATTAAGAAGGATATGATTAAGACTAGCGTAACAAAGGAAATGACTCGCAATAGAATGGAATGGAAAAATAGGATTCATGTAGCCGACTCCAAACATTTGGGATAAATGCTTGATTGTTATTGTTGTTGTATATTTTTATTTTCTGACAAGAACAGTTACTTGTAAACCCGTAGTTGTGTTAAGTTTAAGCAATATAGTGTAATCTAGAGTCTCCTGCCTCACTGTGAATGGCAATCTAGAAAATGCATCGTACGGACGCTCTATTTACACTAATATTTATCTGTTTTTGTGTAAATACTGAAAAATTGCCTATATATTTACATATCGTTTTTATTAATATCGAGCATTATTTAGCACGACACCGAGCTATTTTTTATGCATATGAACGAAAGAAGAGAGGTAAAAAAACTCAAAGAAGAAGAAATAGTACCTTATTGAAAAAAATGATATTTCCATTTAGGCTCAATAATTTAGCCAAAGAAAAAGAGTTTTTTTTGCTAATAAGACCCCAACACAAATGATATTTCCGTTTTAGCTTTAGGGGCTGTTTGTTTGCCAAAAAAAGGGAAATCAAAGAAAATGAAACATATTTCTAAGAAAAATAGGTTTTGGCATTGTTTGGTTGGCTAAAAAAAAGAAAGAAATCAAAGAAATAGAGATGAGATAAGATGAGTTGTCACCTTATTATAGGATGATGTGAGTGATTTTTTAAGAAAACTTGTTTTGATGTTGTTTGGTTGGCGGAAAAATAAGGAAATGAATTATAAGAAACTTATTTCTTGTAATATGTTGTTTTCTTTTGTTTGGTTATTTCTTAAAAATAAGAAAATAGATGAGATGAGATGAGTTGTCATTATATTATTGGATGATGTGACCCACACTTAAGGAAATTATTTTCCTAGCTTTTTAGGAGGAAAATAAAGAAATAAAATGTTAATGAGATGAGATGAGTTGTCACAATCTTATTGGATAATGTGAGTGATTTTTAAATATGAGATGAGATGAGTTGAATGATGTTGTGGATGAAAATAATATTTTATTAGATGTGGTGGATGTGATGGATGAGTTGTTGGATGAAATTAATATTTTATTAGATGTGGTGGATGAGTTGTTGTATAAAAATAATATTTTATTAGATGTTGTGGGTGAGTTTTAGGGATAAAAATGTGTGAAATTGTACTTTTTGAGATTTCTTGATTTTTATTTCTATTTTTTGGTTTTTTAGGAAATAACCAAACAGCCTTAGGAGAAAATGCAGCTATTATCAGAGCGATTCAGATGACGCTTCGGGTCGGGTTCATGATACCTTAAAAAACCCGTTTGTAAAAATTAGAGGTTGGAGATGGAGGTGAATAGGGCTCAAGTTAGCGCTCAAATCCAAAACCCTAATGAGTGTCAATTATTCAGTACGCTAGCTGCATTATTGTGAGTAATCCATGCCAATTTTACTAAAATTTCCCCTAATTTTGTTCTTGTTGATGTTAATTCTGTGTTAGATTATAACGTGGACATAATTACTGGGGATCTGTTGAAATATCTGTAAATTAGGGACTGTAACTGAGAATTCTGTTGAAAAGATGCGATCTTGTGGCGAAAATCTTTTGTGATTAGTAAAAATATATGTGAGATTATATGTTAGTTGCATCTCCAAGTCACAATGGATCTTGATGTCTTGTGCAAGTTGTGTTTTCTAGCAATTTGAATAAATATGATAACATTACAAGTATAAAATTATGATACTCAACCCTCGCCACAACTTTGGAGTTTGTTGTATGGTTGTGTATTGTCATGTTTGAATCCGCGTGTCCGAGTGTATCCTTTGTGGGTATAATAGTTGGGGTGGGGGTAACTAAGGTTTAAAAACTACTGAGTTCTGAATTTATTTCTTGTGTCGTCAGACAGGACTCAGGAATCAATATATTGATGAAAGAAGGCTGTGTGTGCACTGATGAACTGATTCAGGTAGACATGATCAAATTGGGAATCACCAGTTTAAGGGATGCATTTTTGAAACTAGTCAGTAATGTTTTTGAAATTTACTAAGATTTTGGAAATATCTACATCATGCCACTCGTGTAATTTGTGTAAGGAATAGATGAATGGATAAAAGGATATATGCAGTCATACTACCCCCGCAAAATCTGAGATAAAGTTTTTGTTAATAATTTGGCCACATCATAATAGACATATTTTCTAACAGGATTATGAATTGGTTAAAGAAAAACAAACAGGTAAGACAAATTGGGGCCACATATTACATCTGCTAGTACTAGCATGTTTTCAGTTCTTGGCTCCAAAATTTAAATCCCTGTATCACATTTTTTAAAGTGATATCTTGCAAGACAATTAGTAGGCTAAGGTGAAAGATCAAGTAAAAAGAGCGGTCACCAGTAGTCTTCAAGCGAAAGGCAAGCTTACTCGCCGTTCATGCTGGATTGCGATGTGAAGAATTGTACATTTTGATTGTTATTGAGTGGGTGGAGACTGGAGAGTCTATTTTATTCAAGTTGCCACCAATGCCTGGTGTGATGTGATATGTACAAGTAACTAAATGCAATTATTCATTTTGATTGGTATTAAGAAAAAAGGTAAGTTTAAACATTAGTAGTGCTAGAAAATAGTTAAAAAGCATAGCTTGCGGTAGCCAGGCATTTTTCGCGTTTGCGATGACAAACAACTTGCACAATGGTGCCTAATACTAATACTTTTTGAGAAAAAACTAGTAGGAACTGTATGTTACAGTATACCAGCATGTTTATCACAATAATAATTGAACAGTAGTCCATTTTAATTTGCAAAAGTTTAGTCCATACAGAAAACATTCATGTCTACTAATCTAGCCTAGAAAAGTTTCTAAATTAAACCACTTACAGAAAGGATAAATCTAAGCTTTGAAGTAAAATTTCTAGCCTCTCCTAGACATCTTGTAGTTTCCAATGTTAATCACCATTGATGAGTTTATCTATAAAGTTTTGATTTTGACTCTCTAAATTTGATTGACTTTCTGGAAACCCTTTCCATTTTGAGCCTTTTTGTGTTCATCAGCAAAACATTTTGGTTTCATGCATCTTGAATTCTTGATCTATTAGATAATTGACTGAGCATTTGATGGTTTCATGCATCTTGATCATTTATGATTCTTTAATTGGTGAATACGAAAATATACATAGACACATGCATAAGGTTCATGTACCTTAATTGAATTGGAGACAATGTCTTCCATGTTTATCTATATTTCACCCTCTGCCACCCTGAACACTTCAATCAGAAGGATGTCAAATTTTTTGAACTCAGTGGTGCTAGGTGAGAGTGCATGAACTTCACAGCAGCAGGCTACATTCTCTTGATAGACAAGAAGAAATATAAACTCTAAGAAGATATCTTCAAATGATAGTGTTAGTATTTAGTAAGGCTGTGCATTGATCACAACCAAGGAAAGTCCACAGATTATGTACTGATTTGTAATAAGTAATTCCTTTCAGTAACTTGTGCAGATGCATTGAGTTCCACTCCCCCTCTTATTTTTTATTTGTGGTAAATTAGTGGGTTCAATTTTATTGTGGTTAAAGAAAAGATAGAAAGTTGGTTGAATATGAGGATAATGTTGGCGGAGTTAGTAGAGGAATGAGTTATGTTTATAGAAATAGGATTTGCAGGGGAGGGAAGTAGTACATAAGTTATCATATTTGGCTTTCAATTAAAGTGCAAGAATCTCTCTGTAAGAGAATTGCAAAAGTTGAAAAATTCCTCAAGGAATTTATCTGTAGATTAAAATCAAGGTAATTATCTGTAAGCACTAAGCAGGTAAAACTTTTGGGTATTTATGTCTAATTTAGCCTATTAATCATTATTCCTGTACTCATATTTTTTTCTTTTTAGTATTTTTCCCAAGCTTCTGATGACATTAATTGTATATAGTTAAGCACTCTTTTTGTTGCCAAGTATACTTGGACATGCTCCATTTTTCATCATGGTTTGACATTTTCATGAACTGATAATGAACTGCTCAGACAAGTCCCTTTATTCAGTGAAAGTCACATCCTTTATGGAGAATCATTTCTAATTACGATGGCTCAATGACTGAAAATTGATCTAAATTTCATGGAGCGATCTTGCAAAAACCCAGGGGAAATGCAATTGTATTTGAGAGATGAGCAATTGCTTTCTCTGATCTTGTCATGAAACCAAAAATACAGTTGATAGTATATTGATATTCGACTTATGGCCGTTGCTTGCACTAGTACTTGTCCCATAACTATATTAATAACATTAAATGTTGAACTTAATGTTATATGACATTAAATATCTGTTGACATTATTAATGTATAGGCTCCCTGGATGAAGCATTCACATGACTATTGTTTACTACACTCCTTAAAATTAGGATCTATTACACACAAATCTAATAAGTTGAGACCGGTAGGCTGAATGTCTAACTTTGTTGGATTTATAGTTTTGCTCTTATCACTTGGTTATGTTCCTCATACTTCGGTTGATTATGGATGCCATATACAATGATGTGAACTGAATATTCTGTCAATATTTAATCCTTCTTGTACATCGCAAAGGCTAATCCTAAACCTCATGATCTCTGCTGAAGGATTCCCTTACTGAACTGTCTTCTTTTTTTATTTTTTTTTATTTTTATTTTTTTATTAGTTACAGAAAGGGAGAAATAATAGGAAACGAGAACCGCTACAATATACACTAAAATTTTCCTTATTCATATTATACATGATCAGGAAAAATTTCCTCTTTCAGTACCATTTACTATCTTTGCAAATCACATCCTACAGCTCAAATACTCAACGTATCATTCTGAAAAGCATACATTAAATCCATCATTGCATTCTTGAATCATTGAGATGATATAGTGACTTTTCTTCCTATGCTAGCTACTGATTTGAAAACTTTCAACATTATTACACTCCACAAATCGCTCACTGTCTCCTTAAAATAGAGAAGGGGATTGAAAAAGAGAAAGAAAAAGAAGAAAATCATGACATTGGTTCCCGAGATTGATAAGGCTGAGCAAACTCGGATTCCATAGAGCAACAACAGAACCCTTCCTTCTCCTTCTCTACTATCTCCACTATACTCTCGAATATAGATACATCACACGGAATCCTCAGGACTCCTTCATGTTCAAACCCAAACTCCTCTTCTGCTTCTCGCAGAAGGAATCCAAAGGATCTGTGGCTCAAGTATTCCATCGGGATTATGAACCTCTTCATATCTTCGCCCACACATAAGGCAAGAAACCCCTTTGGCACATTGCTACAGAGCGCTGAAGAAGTGTTAGAAAGTGAGAGTGTTCTCTTTAGGAAGTTGATGCTCTTGCTATTGCTTTTTGGCGCAGCTGTGAGCTTCTTCCACTTTTTCAGCATTTTGTGGGATTTCTTGGAGTCCATGGATCCTTATGGAGGCTTGGAAATGCTTCTAAGCCTTCACAGAAAAAACCCAAGCGCTTTTCCTTGATCAGGACTCTGCGGTGGCCTGAGATCTCTAAGTTGGCTATTGGAATTTATAGTAGTTATGACTCCCTCATTCTATTAAATAAATTGATATTCAGTTGATATTTTGATTTCTTTAATGTATATTTTATAATGTAGTTGTTATTCCAACTATCTTATGTACCAAGAAAGTGACAACTGGTTTGTGTTTGATGACTTTTGGCTCTCTTGATTTCAGTTTCTTTATTGTGAATAGTGTACAAAATAGGAGATTGCATGAACCTTTTTATCTGTTCCATTGGCAATATTGGAGATATGATTCTTTTGCTGCACTGTGAACTCACGGTTGTTGATTCAATTCAGATCTAGATAGAGGTTTCTGTGATTTGACATACTAGTTGCTTTTTTAGCATTTCCTAAGTATTTTTTAGTTCAAAGCTTTTCGGTGCCTCCAATTGTTCTTTTTTAGTTTTTTTTTATTAGATTTGGGTACGTAGGAGAACGTGGCAGGTGCAAGATAGTAGAGATGCATGTGAGGTCCCTGTATATCATCATTGAAAGCAATTAAGATATTCATTGGCTCATCAAATTACATGTGTCTTAACATGCTGCTTCAAATTTGATTTCAGCTTCCTCTAATCCCTGCCAGGGTGTTTAATGAAGTAATTATGTGCTTCAAGTAATCGACTGAAGGAGGAATTCAATTATTCATAAATGTTGATTAAATATTCACCACCTTCTCTAAGGAAAATATACATTTAAACAGAATGTGATGGCCCAATGTTAGGTTTGCATTGAACCTGATTAATTTAAAGGACTTCCATGTGTTTTTTTTCAAATTGTTGATTGAGGAAAGTAACTGTTATAAACACTAAAAGTTGGAATCAATGCATTGAGCTCATATTTCACTGACAGTTTGATAAAAATGTTCTCCAAAGAAAGCACTGTTTTTAATTTCAGAATGTACTTATTTGTTCTACTGAGATTCATAATTACAGATTCCTATTCAATTGCCACATTTTCAATTTTACTTCCAACGTAGTGTAAAATGTGCAATTTCTTTGTCACATATATATATTATTAGCAAAACTACCACTTTAGTTTTCTATTTCTGACTATTATCTGATGTTCAACAAGAATTTTTCCAGGGGTAGAATGACAAAGGAGCAGCGAAGGAGTTACTGAAAGATAATTTTTGACCCAGAAAGTTTAAAAGCTTTTTATCTCGGTAAAATGGACTTCTACCCTAGCCAAGATTTGAATTGATGCTGATAATCACACAATTTAATCATAATGTGCACTTTTTTTAATGAAATAAATATTGTTTGATGATATTGACATCACATGATATTGTTAGTTTATCAAGGTTAATCATTTATTTACATCCAAGTTGCTAAAGATTACTATTATTCTGGCATGTGAAGGTTTGACGCTAATGGTTAGGACAGTGTGGGCTTTTGTATACGACTATACGTTTTATAAATCTAATGCTAGGCTTCTTGGCAACTGTACAGAACAGTACAATCACAAGACCTTTAAGTTGATTAACGGTTAAGTAATAATTTTTCTTTCTTATATTGTTTTAAACTGACACCGAAATTTTTAATCAGATTGGATCTTCCGTATTGGAATGAAATCTGTATTCAAATTATTTAAATTATCGTGCAGAGAGTTTCTATATTTTTTAAAAACATTTCTAGTACAACTCTAGATTATGATTTAATCTCACTTTTATAATCTCTAACTGTACCTTGTTGATGCCAGTTATTGCAGTTGTATATGCCTTGGCTTACAACTTGGTGAGTCTATTCAAAGTTCACTTGCTTTTATTGTACATATTGCTCTCAGATAGAAAAGAAAAGTCAGGACTTGCAAATCTCACTTTGAACATAAACTAATGGAGACTATTCATCAAAGGAGTCAACTAACTGAAGATAGTGAGGTATGAACCTTTTCTTGACCCAGAAACTAAAGTCGAGCTCATCTTGGAAATTGCTTACAAGTATTTATAATATTATTTATCTTGTGCATGATTGTACATGAAGGAAGATGATAACTAATATGCTATCACTTGTATCAACTGGCATCTTCTCTTAAAAAACTTTGTTGCCTATACGTTCTTTCTAACAGTTCTAAAGAAGTCGAGCTCATTGTCCACTATTTTCCCTAGATTAAAGCTATTTTTTAATTATTCTAGTCTCCATTCACCAATAACTTAGTCGTGATAATCCATTTTGACTACTGTGAGATCGCGGGAATGAAACATGCTGACTAATCCCCGATCCTGTACAATATTGTATGTTACCTTATCTTTGTTTACTTTGATCAAGGCATAGGTTTCATCTTGATCTCTTTATCTATACCTTAAACTAATTCCAAAACCACCAATTCTATAATTCTGTCTTTTCTAATGAGTTTATTGCAATGGACCCATTGTAGTTCTATTGTTACAGATAGACCACCTGAGCAATTTTTTTTGCTTATTTACCCTCAGGAGTCTATTTGTCGAAAAACAATTTTCTATTTCTCTGAGGGTAATTGAATCAAAAAAAAAAAAAAAAAAAAAAACCCAGGGGGTGGTCTACTTGCAATAATAGAACTAAAGAAGGGTATACCTGCAATTAGGCAATAGTACAGAGAGTCTCATTCTGCAATAGCCCTTTTTAACACTTGATAATAACCAAAGAGACAAAAAAAATTAAGGCTAACTCCTGGTTGTACCACCCCCCCCCCCCCCCCCCACCAAAAAAAAAATAAAAAAAAAAAAAAAAAAAAAAAAAAAAACCCAGGGGGTGGTCTACTTGCAATAATAGAACTAAAGAAGGGTATACCTGCAATTAGGCAATAGTACAGAGAGTCTCATTCTGCAATAGCCCTTTTTAACACTTGATAATAACCAAAGAGACAAAAAAAATTAAGGCTAACTCCTGGTTGTTACAGAAAACAATAATATTTCTGCTGGAATACTTGAGCTTTTGCCAGACAATTGAGAATACCTTGCAAATATATGTCAGGCAGTCATCATTAGAGTCGGGCGGTTTATCAAATTGATGGATATTTGTGCTGAATTGCCACAAGTCCAAAAGGGTGATGAGAATTTCATAAATTGTGGATTTAGGCAGGACTCAAGTCCACACTCTACTACTTTCACTCCGAAACGCTTAGCAAACTCTGCTGAGCCAACCTCTGTTGATCGAGTTGGAAGTAGGCCTGGCCACTTCATAAGAACTGTGGAGCTTTAACAATTTGAATTTGGTGCAAACTGGCAGTTAGGGAGTAGGAACGAGATCTATATAGCTTTTAGTGAGTACGCTTTTGGTAGTTGATCATTTCAATACTTTCAAGATTTTCGGCATGAAGTTTTCTGTAGAGAGATTTGCCTCACTAATCAGTTGCAGCATCAGATCTTCAATCGCCATCAATAACTAGCAATCAGCAGTTACTAGTCTAAATCTCTTCTACCTTCCAATAATTTATCTCCAATCATAAGCTGCACCAAACCCACCACCCATTCTCTCCAATCAAAACCAAACACAAATTAAAAATTACTTTGAATAATAATTAGAGAAGGTATGTTTCAGAGGGTAAAGGCACATGCTCACTTTCACTAGTTGCTGCATTTACCAATGACGAGTGAGCATGCTGTTGCTGAACGCTTTGGTTCACTGCATCTAGTGTTCATTGATTTTGGTTTTCTTTTCTTTAAAGGAATCTGAGGCTTACATGAGTTGCAGAAAGATCATGCACCCGTGTGAGATCTAACTATTAGAGTCTAGAATCATGGCAGCTTGTGCAACCAATGATTTAATATGACTCTGAAATATGAAGTGTCCAATTTTTTTTAGCTATTTTCACTCTAATACCCCATAGTACCTTTCTTTCATTTTGATACTGCAAAGTACTTTTTAACACGTTAGTACCCCAAAATTTCAATTCCGATACCCTGCCCAGATGTCGATAGATTTTCTGTTAAATTGCAGTATATTTAGGTCCATTTTATCCAGTTTTGGAGATCCAAACAAGCAAATGTTTCCAATAGCGGTGGAGTGGCTATCTCACAAAGTGAAATGCAATTGAAACTTTAGGTCATTGTTGAGGATCGACGTCTGTTTGGCTTAGAAGCCTGACCAACTAGTCCGTTCTTCTCTCGTGTGCACCACCAAGAACACAAAGGGGGAAGCAACTATTCCACTGTCTCTCACTCAGCTCACAAAGGGTGAAAGCACAAAGCTCTAGAAGGGAGAGGATGGATCGCACAAAGCAGAGAAGAGCACAAAGCTTGGGGTCTTCTCAACGCCGTCGCTCCTCTTCTTCTCCTAAGCTACTACCAGCCCTTCGACCTAAATAGAGAAGGGGGCAGCCGACATGGGAGAGAAGCCTAGGGTTTCGAATGGTAGGAGCCGACCTATAGGGATGAGAGATGAGACTCACAGCGGCTGCAGCGCAGGACACTGGAATCAAGAAGGAGCTGCCGACATAGGGCTTAGTACCATCGGGTAGGAGAGATTTAGAGATGGGCAAGGCCAGATATTGTAGGGAACTGGGCCTTTTGGTAACGAGCCAGAGTTTGGGCCAACAAAATAGCAACAGTCATCAAAGTGTTAAAAAGATTTGGGGTATCAAAGTAAAAAATTGGGTAAATTTTGGGGGTAACAGAGTGAAAGTAAGCCTTTTCTTTTATAGTTTGTACTTTCATCTCCCTTTTGTAGGATGAGGTCTTAGTAATCACACAGCTGGTGCTTTACATAGATACGCTAATTTTTTAGTGTGAACCCAACTTGGATCTGTTTGCCTGCCACCTTAAAGCTTAATTAGTGGGCTAGCCTTCTGGATAAATTTTGTGCCCAGAGCGAAAAAAGTACTTAATATTGTTGCGCGCAGCGGAAATTTCGGCAGCACTTCGGCAGCACAACAAGAGAGTCAGGTCGCAATAAGAATTCTTGTTTCTCAAAGGGAACAAGAATCTGAAGCCTAATATCTCATCAAAGTGGGATATTAGCGCTTCCTCTCGTCAGCTCTAGGACTGCGTGTCGAGGGAACCTAAAAAGCTATTACAAATCACACAAATAGCAGTACAACCAATTTTACGTGGTTCGGCAAATTGCCTACGTCCACGGGGTAAGGAGGGGGAGATCTACTATTAGAGGGAGAGATTACAACTAGGGTTTACAATCACTCACAAACTAAACTCTCAAACAAACTCTCAAATCCCTCACAAATACCTCTCAAAGGGATACACTAAACCCTAAAAGAAACTCACAAAATCTCCTCAACTGCAGCCGCAAAAAACCAAAAAAAAAAACCCGCAGCCAAATAATTCTCCTGCTGTTTTGCTTCTTTTCCGCAGCCGCACAAAACCAAGCCTTGCACTGCCCTCTTGCACTAAAACCTAGAAACAAAATACATCAATATATATAGCAGCATATGTATTCGGGTGGGCTTTCTTCATGGGCGTTCACACGGCTTCTCCTTTGTTCACGCGGAAACAACCACACATGGGTGGGTCCCATGTCCCCCATGTCACAATTCTCCACCTCGGTGAAGTTTTCTCAAAACTGAGCCGACACCAAAGCAAACAAATGTCAGTATCTACTCACCAAATCGGCTGCATGACTGCCTACGTATCCTCTTGCCCAAGGAATCAAGCCGAACGTAGTTCATCCAAATGGCCGCCAACGGCCTCAACAATCACGAATATGCAACAAGTTTCGACAATGATCAAACTTGTTGCTCGGAACCACCTTAGTGAGCATATCCGCCGGATTATCCTTCGTGTGGACTTTCATAATCTCCACATCTCTATCTTCAAGAACATCTCAAACGAAGTGATAACGAACATCAATGTGCTTCGTCCGCGCATGAAAAACCTGATTCTTCGCCAAATAGATAGCACTCATGCTATCACAATGAATAGTGACGGACCTCTGCGATATACCAAGTTCCTCCAAAAGTCCTCGAAGCCAAATAGCCTCCTTCACAGCCTCCGTAACTGTCATATACTCTGCCTCCGTCGTAGACAAAGCCACCGTCGACTGTAAGGTGCATCTCCAACACACCGGCGCACGGGTCAAAGTGAACACATACCCCGTAGTAGACCGGCGTTTATCCAAATCCCCGGCATAATCCGAATCAACATAGCCAATGCATAACTGCCCACCTGTAGTGTCCCGCTCATAAACCAAACCAACATTGAGCGTACCTCGAATGTACCTCAAAATCCATTTCACGGCGTCCCAATGACCCACTCCTGGATCATGCATGTATCTCGACACCATGCTCACTGCCTGTGACAAATCCGGCCTCGTACATACCATCGCGTACATCAAGCTCCCAACCGCACTCGCATATGGAGTCTTCGACATCAACTCTCTATCTTCAACTGACTTCGGTGAAAGACCAGCTGAAAGCTTCAAATGGGCTCCCAATGGTACACTAACTGGCTTCGTATCCATGCTAACATGGAATCGCTGTAGAACCTTCTTCAAATAAGCCACCTGTGTCAAACAAATTCTGCCCTTCTTCTTGTCTCTGCCGATCTCCATCCCTAGAATGCGCTTCGCCTCACCCAAGTCCTTCATCTCAAACTCATTTGAAAGCTGAACTTTCAACTCATCTATAGCCGACCTGGAAATAGAGGCAACCAACATGTCATCGACATAGAGCAACAAATAAATATACGCACCTCCTTTCAACTTGCGAAAATATACGCAAGGATCAAACTGGCTCCGAGTGTACGAATGACCAAGCATAAAACCATCAAATCGCCTATACCACTGTCGAGGAGACTGTTTCAAACCGTATAGCGATTTCTTCAATCTGCAAACCAACTTATCTTTCCCTGCAGCTCGGAATCCCAATGGCTGAGTCATATATATTTCTTCATCAAGATCACCATGAAGAAATGCTGTCTTCACATCCAACTGATCTAACTCCAATCCATAC